TACTAATTCTGAGTGCTTTGACATATGTCTACCCATCTTACTTTTTTGGGTAGTTTTATATGCACAATGTGTACATTCATGTATTTTACTAGAAATGGATGCAATAAAGTCGGGATGTTTCCTGATTAAATGATCATTCAGTGATGGAATACTTGTGAATGTTGCCTTACAGTGAATACATATTCTGAATTTATAATTATTCAATAATTTTGAGTGTTGTGTCATATGTCTATTTATCTTGCTTTTATGGGTAGTTTTATATTCACAATGTGTACATTCATGTATTTTACTAGAAACGGATGCAATAAAGTCAGGATGTTTCCTGATTAAATGATTATTCAGTGCTGAAATACTTGTGAATGCTGCTTTACAGTGAATACATATTGTGAAATTATAATTATCTACTAATTTTGAGTGCTTTGACATATGTCTATCCATCTTACATTTTTGGGTAGTTTTAAATGCACAATGTGTACATTCACGTATTTTACTAGAAATGGATGCAATAAAGTCGGGATGTTTCCTGATTAAATGATCATTCAGTGATGGAATACTTGTGAATGTTGCCTTACAGTGAATACATATTCTGAATTTATAATTATTTAATAATTTTGAGTGTGTTGTCATATGTTTATTGATCTTGCCTTTTTGTGTAGTTTTATATGCACAATGTGTACATTCATGGATTTTACTAGAAACGGATGTAATAGAGTCGGGATGTTTCCTAATTAAATGATCATTCAGTGCTGAAGTACTTTTGAAAATTGCCTTACAGTGAACGCATATGACGAATTTAGAAGCATCTGGATGTTTGTTCATATGTCTGGCAAAATTGGACTTTATAGTTGTTTTATATTCACAATATGTACATTCATGTATTCTACTAGAAACAGATGCAATAAACTCTGGATGTTTCTTGATTATATGATCATTCAGTGTCCATGTGCTTTTGAATTTCACATTACAGTGAATACATATGCTGAAATTATAGTTAGATACCGACTCAGGATGTCTCAACATATGTCTGCCAATACTAGTTTTAGAGGTTGTTCTGAATGCGCAATATGAGCATTTATGGATTTTACTAGAAACGGACCCAACAAAATTAGCATGTTTTCTAATCACGTGATCATCTAGGCTTGTTTTGGTTCTGAACTTCGCCTCACAATGCTTACACTTGTAATGTTCTTTCATATGACTAATCAGAAGATACCTAGATCTAGCCGAATAATTACAATTATGACAAAAAAACGACCCAGAGTCTGGTCTTTTGACAACCACATCTTGCTTCAACGGGAATTCCTGATTTATAGCACTGAAAAAAAATATTACTATTAGAATTTTTAGAAAATAGTTATCAAATATCTCGCAGTTGATGCTTGTTATTGGGAAAATATAACAAATATTACGGACACGTATGTTACAAGAAATAAGCTGGTAATATACAGAATGTTAGCAAAATATCATCAATATCAAGTTTTAAGAGTAGGTGAACATTTGTACAGAATGTCACCTTTCTTTTGTGCGGTTATATCTATTCATTCCAACTTATATACCCTATTTCACGAGTATCCGTCATGCTTTGACGTCTACTGAGCTGAACAGCTGATCAGTATGTATAGGCTGGAATGAATAGATATAACCGCACAAAAGAAAGGTGACATTCTGTACAAATGTTCACCTACTCTTAAAACTTGATATTGATGATATTTTGCTAACATTCTGCATAACAGATTTTGGTGACCATGTAATTTAATGAATGTTTCCAAATGATAATTGAAAATATGAAAATACCCAGTTCCAACTACACCCTATTTCTCGAGTATCCATCACGCTTTGACGTCTACTGAGCTGAACAGCTGATCAGCAAGTGACATTTTTGTGTTATTCTGCAACGTTGGCAAGAATGAGCGGGGTATAAATCTAGTATGACGTGTTTGTGGCATTTTGTTTTTTGTAAGAAAATGAATTTTTCTAAATAAAAGAGATGTTAGCAGGCACAAAATTAATCTGTAGCATACAAACAACCAAGACAAAATAAGGCTCTGACTACCTGATGTTGACGGATCCGTCAGAATTATGTGTTCTATGGTGATATGGGGAATTTAGAGATATTACTAAATAATCAGTTGCCATGCGATCCTGTCCAAAGAGAAATCTTTCTCTTGGCTATGGATAATTACATTTAAAACATAGTGTCAAGTAGGTTGACTCTGCATGTCACACACGACATTATGATCAGTTCATAAATGTTCACATATTATCCGTTCAGAGAAAAAAGTTAGTCATAAGCATGTATAACAAAAAAAAGCCAATTTTTGATATTCACAAATTTTTTATGGAAATGATCAGCAGTCTCTGAAGTGTCAAAAAATGATAAGGCATTATTTTTTGCCAGTAACTCCAATGCCACTGGATCAAGATAAAAACTATAAAGGTTTTTCTTCCATGGCAGAGTTGTAGCGTTGTGGCAAAATTTCATCAAAACCTGACACGTACTTTCCAAATTATAGTGAGGCCAACAATTAGCAGACAAACCAACAAAGACACCTGGGACATTTTGAAAATTTCACACAAGTACAAGTAGAAACAACTGACAAAAAATAGTTACCTGTTGGAAACTGTTTCTGGATTTGTATCTAAGAACATATCATCATCATTACACTCATCTTTGATGATGAATTCTTCTATCATTTCCAAAACTGAGTCCTTTTCGCTGTTGGCAAGACCACTTTCAACCTTCACTTCCTCAGGCTCACTTTTTATCCAAGCCTTAGCAGAATTGTGCTCCTCATTTACCAACAAACGTATTGCAGTCCTAAAACATTTACAACTGATTAAAGAGCATATAATTTATACTGTCCCCAACAAGATGCCTAACCCTATGGTCATATACAGGGTGTTAATAAAGTATGTACCAATTTTATGATACATACCTAATTAACACCCTGTATGAACATTCACATACATTTCCATTGTCACAGCCATGTTGGTCAAATAGAATTAGAGTATTTCCCTTAGAAGAATAAAACAAATTACCCCTTAACAACTTGACCCCCAGAGAAAAATTCTTGTGGGCATCCCTGAGTCCAGGCATTATATGTTTTTCCTAAGCAAATAATAGCAAAGAGGAATTACCTAGAAGCTAGATCATCTACAAAATAATCATCAGTCTCATGTTTAATGTTTATTTGATCTATAATTTCTGGACCTGGACTTCTGAAACAGGCAAAAACAATAATTTTGAGTATCATATGAATATAGGGTTATTTCATACCCTTCAAAACACTTACAAAATGTATTTGAATGGCTTACCTATCTAAAACTGCATTTTTTGTGTTTTCATTTGTATCACATTTAAAACTCAAATTCCTAGAGGCATTATAAAGTTCAAATAGCTTGGCGTCTGCCTCTACTGCCTGGAATCCACCCTCCTCCATTTCTATCTTCATGATGTCTCCAGTAGCTAACACTTGAGCATCCATGGTTAAACTATACACGTATGCACAAGGATCCGGTTCGTTAATAACTCTGACTGAAATGTTAAAATTCTATTTACAAGTTTCTACTTTAGCATACGACTACTAGTAGTACATTATGCGTTACCTTGGTGTAGTGACAAATGGCACAAATACAATGATTTGACTTTCTGTAATAAAAGCACATTACAGAACAAGTATAAATGAAGTTTGTCATAATATGTCAAGTCAAGTTTTGATTATAGAGTTGGGCAAATCGTTACAAATGTACTAGATGTCATCACGATCTAAAATTGATTTTTACAAGAACATTCTCCGCATCTCTTTTAACCACGACCACGTCGAATATTTGGAAGTTCCTTGGCAGAGTCGTTGAATATTGAATACAGCTGCTTCATCGCATTTTTCAAAAAAGTACCAGACTCGAAATGCCAACCCAACACTAAGCTTGGACACACAGAACAACCTTTTCCGCCACGAGATCAGCTTGATAAATAAAGAAAACCTTCTGCAAACTCTTGATCTTTAATAAAACTTAAAAAGTATAATCGAGTATAAAAGAGATTCGAGATTTTTTCTGTCAGAATCGCGTTGTTTTTGATACCTCAAAGTAGAAATAGCGGTTCTCCAAGAAACACGAACATTTAAACAATAAAACGCCGGTTAAAAGAAATAATACAAAAATATTTATTCAAAACAAAATCAACAAGAGAAACTCAACAAGTAATAAATATGTACAACAAAACAATGTCCGATAGGCTAGTGATAACCTCCTAGACTCCCAGCCCAATCTCCTCCTCCACCCGCCAGAGCCGCCTCATAGCTTCCACTACCTCCTCCTCCATGCTCACTGGCCCCTAAGACTCCGCTGTAATGGCCGGCGAACCCGGTACCGCTGTCATGTTCGTTGACGTCATAACCGTGGTGACCTCCCGAACTGCCTCCGTTCTCGTGCTCCGGAGCGCTGTATTTGCTGGATGCCACAAAGGAACCTCCAAAGGAGCCGCCGTGACCATGATCACCTCCTGGAGAAAGAAAAACGGATTATTATATTGATCTAAATACATGTGTTTTATTATCGTGGAAGACGCCAGGTGGTCATTCTGTCAATGAAGAAAAGTTCAGTTTCACGCACGAACGTGTGAAGACTTCAATTTTCCTTCAAAAATAATATGGTCCGACGAGAGTATGGCCACTTATAGGTAATGATATCTTTAACCGCCGCAACATTCATTACTGGGGACAATAACATCGACGGGATAAAAAAGTATCCAAACATCAAGCACGTTTTGAAAATACACAACAACGAACTTTTTCTTTGACTTGACACTCACCGTGATTAGTCAAATCGAAGATATGCCCCTTATTACCACCTCCTATCCCCACCACGCTGACTCCGTGATGAAAATCCCCTCCAATGTAGTCACTTCCGTCTTCGTGTCCCCCTCCACCGCCTCCCCCTCCACCTTCATGGACTGCGTAGTGGCCGATGTCCCCGCCCCCTTCGCCATACAGAGCGTTGCTCTGCCAGTCGGCGCCGCCTCCATCATGGTCGCCTCCGCCTCCTAAGTGAAGAACTCCTGGAAAAGGAAATTATGTACATTAACGGCTTAATCTCGCGTCTTGTGATGTTTCATTTTCGGAATTGTTATCGATCCCTTCCAGAGCGACAATGTACGAGGTTTGTTCAATTGAAACCCAGCTTTGGTCTAGAAAAAATTTATATCTACAAACAATTACTACTACAATTAAGACATATCCCATTGTTTCACGAATCGATGTATACCCTTCTTAAAGAATTCTCAAATTGAATGACCGCACGCTCATTATACTGTTAACAACAAGCGCCATTTTTAGGTCACAATACTTAAAAACGCAGTCAAATACAAATGACAGGAACGGATCAGCGCGACGTTAACAAACACAACTAACATTGCAAAACGTCAGTTAAGTGATTAGAATTGTTTCCAAGGCTGGCCTGACCAAGGATGGGTGTCAACTGAACAAGCCTCGTACGATAGATTTGCTCAATAAATACAGGGTGCGGCAGAGAGGATGGACGGTTTTAAAAAAATCATAAAATAGTTAATTTTTACTCGAAAACAAATTTATTGATGGAATCAGGTTCACAAGGAAATAACATTTGAGATAGTCAAGTGTGGAAAAACACATCAGGCATGTGGTGTCCGAAATCGTTGATGCAGTGCTGGAGGCGTTCTTGGAAGTTCGCGTAGACTCTCTCCAACATCGCTCTCTCAACTTGGGCGACTTCCACGCGAATTTCGCCCTTCAATTCGTTCAGAGTTCGGGGCTTGTTCGCGTATACTCTAGCCTTGAGGTGTCCCCATAAGAAAAAATCGCATATGGATAAATCTGGGTACCGAGGAGGCCAATGAACATCGCCAAACCTGGAAATAAGGCGACCAGGGAAGAGAGGGCGATTAACGTCCACGGGTGCTCGGCCTGTATGGGCGGTCGCCTCGTCCTGCTGAAACCACACACGTCGGATTGGAACACGTCGCCGTCGTAATTAAGGGAGAAAGAAGTTGGTGATCATGTCGACGTAGCGCTCAGAGTTCACGGTAACATCACGACCATTACCGTCTTCGAAGAAGTAAGGGCCAATGATGCAAGTTTGCGATACAGCGCATCCCAACAACGTCCGTCCTCTCTGCCGCACCCTGTATAATATAGTTTGATATGCAGATGTTGTAGATTAATCGTACCTAATCACGATTGGATTCCGCCTAGACTAATCTCTTGTCTTTGAAATCTCCAGCTAAGGCATAGGAAACTATAGAGTCAATATACTTGACGTCATTTCTTTAACTTTCTTAATCGAACTAATTATAGGATATATTGACGTCGATACATATTTGTGGTAAATAGTTATCCCATCAAAGTACCAATTACATCGCAATCGAAAATACGAAAGACAATGTGATGAAACCGTTTTTGTTCCGCCTAGTTAAATCACATTGAACAAAAAAAAATTGACATCAATTGGACTGTAGGTACATGCAATTCGCAAGGCAAATATCAGGAGAAAGTAATAGTAAACGAGACACAATCGTCGGTACTTTTACCTTTTATCAACTAATCTATATAAATAACATTTTTTATGAAATAACCAAGACACGTTCACTTTCAAATCGTCATCAATGAAAGGCTAATTACTTTTTTCAATAATTAAAACATCGCGATCGCTTTCAAATGATTTCCGTTTTCGGAAGAGCTCAAATGGTTGGTTGGGTTTGTCCGACATCACATCGTATGCTTAGTTGATTCTCGTTTGGAGTTAACAAGATGGTATATCTAAGATTAACTCATAATATTTTTTTACTTCCTATCTAATCACGACTCGATCTCGCCGAACGAAGATTCAATCTATTTGACGCCATCTGTCTTCAGTTTTTACACGTATGTTTGCCCTTAATAGTTGTCTTAGTTATAAAAGGCCAAGCATTAACGGGCAGACCATATGGAAATGAGTGTCATGATTTACATGTCTTGTAATAAATCCTCTGACAAAGAAACTTTAGTAAGGATCCACCTACACATTAACAGAGTATTCGTATCTATACGTATTATCTATTTTTTGCGAGCGCGGATCTTATTGGTCGACCAATCCGATGCTGGAAGCTAAGTATTTGTGTGGCTGATTCTTTTTACGAGGCGTTGCTGCACGTTCATACGTCCCGAGTTTTTTGCGCAAAAAGATAAATGAAAACTGGTTCGGATTGTTCGAACAACAGCGTTTCAAGGAGTACCTTAAATTTCTCGTCGTACGTATCCATACACGTCGTTAATATCATTAATATGGTCTTCAAAATTTAGAACTGTATTTACGTGGATCATCTTAATAACCCAGGTGATTTAGGTATCATATAGGAATTACATTTTTTATATTGTTTTCGGGTTGAAAGACCCGATAAAGTTTCGAACATAATAACTGGCTGAGCCTTTGATTTTGGTGTCAATAACCATTTGAGAACTATCCTACCAATCACTATAGGAATGCGAGGGGATTTTTCCAAGATGGGTACATAACAAAAATACGAATGTGTTCCGAGATCATTTGAAAAGCAAGAAGTAGCGTTTTTATAAGAAATTATTAGATACATTACACTCCAAAAACGTTTTTTGAAAAATGAGTTTTTTTTTGTATCTGAACCAGGTGATTTATGCAATATTTCTTGACGTAATATGGGAATTAATGACACATCGTATACAAACCGTACATTTTTTCTCTATGAGGGTGGTCCCAGAAGTACCCGGCCTGAGAGATGGCGATAGTTATTGTACTAGAAAGTATGCAACCTATAAAGCATATGTGTCAACTTTGAAGACGCCACGTTGTTTAGTATTTGTCTGGCAGCCATCAATATTGAACGTTTTCAGTGAATTTGTGAAAATGGAGAAAATTGGTCATCGTTATGTGGTACAATACTTTTATTTCGAAGGCTTCAGCCCAACCAATATAGAAGCTGAACTGGGTTCTACTCTGGGTGCGTCTGCTCCTTCGTTTACAACAGTAAAATATTGTGCAGCAGAGTTTGCACGAGGTCGTATGAGCTGCCAAGACAAGCATCGCAGTGGTCGACCAAATGAGGTGACGACTCCACAAATAGTGAAGAAAATTCACAAAGTGGTACTGAATGATCGTCGACTGAAAGTGCGCGAGCTAGCAGACATAGTAGGCATTTCAAAAAGTGCGGTTCATCGCAAATTATCCGAATATTTGTACATGAGAAAGCTGTGTGCAAGATGGGTGCCGCGATTGCTCACAATCGACCAAAAACAGTGTCGTGAGTGTTTAGCGAAGTTTCACAGAACAGAATTTTTGCGTCGTTTCATAACCATGGATGAAACATGAGTCCATCACTTCACACCGGAGACAAAAGAACAATCAAAACAATTGACTCAAAAGGGACAACCGGCTCCAAAGAAGGCGAAGACAGTTTCATCTGCAGGCAAGGTTATGGCGTCGTTTTTTTGGGATGCGCGTGGGATAATTTTTATTGATGATCTTGAAAGAGGTAAAACTATCAACGGCGAGTATTATGCGAACTTATTGCAACGTTTGATCGATGAAATCAAGCAAAAACGGCCGCATTTGGTTAAGAAGAAAGTGTTGTTTCATCAAGACAATGCACCAGCTCACAAATCCGTTATTGCAATGGCCAAAATGAACGAATTAAAGTTTGAATTGCTACCTGATGCACCCTATTCACCAGATTTAGCCCCCTCGGATTATTTTCTGTTTCCAAACTTGAAAAAATCGCTCAGTCGTCAAAGATTTTCCAACGATGAAGAAGTGATGTCGGCAGTTAATGACTATTTTGAGGAGCAAGGCAGTTCTTATTATAAAAAGGGTATCGAACTTATTGAACATCGCTGGGAAAAGTGTATAGAGCTCAAAGGAGATTATGTTGAAAAATAAATACATTTAAAAAAAAATTGTGTTTTCTTTTTCGGGTCGGGTACTTCTGGGACCACCCTCGTAGTTTAGAGATTGGATCTATTACTTGAAGAACGCCTTACGATTAAAGGCGCAAATTTTGGTTCCTGTGTGTCAATAGCAAAATCTGGCCTTACACTTTTTGAAAAGCGGGAAATCTTAATGATCGGTAGTTTTATGATTTCCAAAAGTTTTCTCATACTAGTTACATGTTAGATTAAATAATCTTAAGCTATTCCTGATGAGTAAAATAGCTCTGAAACACACAAGCATATTCTTAAAGCTTGATCTAGCTGTTAAAATTATTGCTAGAATACATTGCGCGCAATTTTTGATACACGCATTTCAGTAGGTGCCGCCGTAGTAGTTGTTTAAAGCACATGTGTCCAATTCATCATGGAGCTCTACACGATCCCACAGCGCGTCCGTATTGTTAAAACGTTTTAATGGAATAATGAGTCGATTTTTGCAACGATTCGGAAGCTACGACAAAATGAACGTATTTTATCTCATTTCACGAATATTCAAGATACAAGCCAGTCGTTGCATATCACAGTGACAGTGACAAAATCCTACAAAGTTCAACTACCCGATTTTTGGCAGGCTTTCGTCTCTGATAGTATTCTGAAGCTATTGTCGAAATCACGAAAGATGACGATTACGTCATCCATTTAGTCTGTAGTAAAGACAAACAACAGCGATTTGTGAATATTTTTAATGAAGTTTCAGATATGTTAGACAGTGACAAACAGAATTTTATTGTCTAAACAAACTGTATTGCTAATTTGCAGGTATACGACAAAGATAGACGATGTTTTCATGTTGCATGATCGATCATATTTGAAAGATGAATAGTTAGGTTATGTTAAAGCAGGTTAGGTTGTTTTCGAATAATACTTAGTCTTTGGTGTTCCTGTCTTATAAGGTATTCTACTCATAACTGTTTTTTTCCAAAACAAAAACTCCCCACTAAAATTATTATTAAGGTAGCACACAAAACCATGAACTAAAATAAAAATAATCAGTGAAATAACCTAACTTCGCAAAATCGTAATATAAATTTGTTGTCATAATGTTTCTGACATCGTGATTTTATCATCGACGTACGTCCATTGATTGCTTCAGTACAATTTATGGTATGACGGCTAATGGTCACTTTTCGTGATTTTGATTATATAACACAAGAACTAAGGTCTGATAATAGGTGTACACTTAAAAATATTTTGTCATTGACTATACGGGCAAACGGCAAATTGGGAATGTTTCAATCAAAAAATCGTGAAGCCTGAATCCTACTATTCGTCATTTATTTGTCTGGGCGGTCCGTAGGACCTTTGCCCATTAGTCACTGTCTGATGTACGTTAGTCGAATCTGTTAGTCCTGGTTGCCCAGAAACCAGACAAAGTCAAGGAAAAAGAGAAAGGGAAAGAGACGAAAAAAGGAGAAGAGCAAAGAAAAATAGATACGCGTAGTTTAAGAGGAAACACCTAGGCTTTTTGACTTGGTACACGGATTAATTTTGAGGTGAACTAAACAAATTTTTGATTCGGTTTTGTTAGGGTGTAATTTTGAGTTTACTAAAGATTCACGCTAACTTTTATAGAATAAAGAATTGGTCCTAGGACCGAACCCTGAGGAACACCGGCCCGTACTGGCCGTGTTGTTGACAAAACATTGTTAATTTTGATCCGAAACTTCCTTCCTTTAAGAAAGGATTTCAGTAATTTTAGAAAGCCTGAATCCTTTCGCCTTTCTCAGCAAACTTCAGCAGAAATTTAATTTATAAAAGTACTTACCGGCATCAAGGAAACCTGGTCTGCAGTAACCAAGGGATATGAGGGACGAGAACACTATGTACTGAAATAGAAATATGTATACTAAGTGACATATAAATCCGAACACCCAGTTTAAATGGTTTTATTTTAATAAAAGTTGGTGAATGTATTATTTATCTTACTGTAAATAACAAGTGAAAAAATTTTCAGCCTTATCAGTTGGACATTCCTGTTTTTATACTGCTTTTTTTTAATTCACTAACGCTCTAAAAATGAATATTTCAGCCGCAGTAAAGAATCAACGTTGGCGGATTTTGGTTCTTGACATCCTTTACGATCGGTTACGATGCCTAGAGTACGGAGACCTGTACGATTTCGTCAACTTAGTGAGTTTGATAGGGGCCGTATAGTGGGACTTCGGGAAGCTGGACTTTCTTTTCGGGCAATTGCAGTTAGAGTGCAAAGAAGTGTAGACACTGTGGTTAGGTGTTGTCAGGCATGGCTTCGAGAAGGCCGTATGCAAAGAGCAAGGGGCACTGGACGCCGCCGTACAACAACCGACCGTGAAGATCGCCGCCTAAGATTATTGGCCTTAAGGGACCGTTTCTCCACTACCAGGTCTATTGCAAATCAATGTTTTGCAGAACACGGAAGACCTATTGGCATGCGAAGTGTTTACCGACGAATGAGAAGTTTTGGCTTGTTTTCATACCGGCCACACTGGGTCCTCCCTTTAACTCGAGAACACCGACGTAATCGCCTTGAGTGGTGCAGACAACGGTCACTCTGGGATCAGGAATGGAACAGTATTGTCTTTAGTGACGAGTCTCGATTTTGTTTAGGCATGCACGATGGTCGTGCCAGGGTTAGAAGGCGACGTGGTGAAAGGAGGAATCCACAGTTTTTTGTTGAAAGACATGTTCATCACACTGTTGGAGTTATGGTTTGGGGTGCTATAGCTTATGGTTCCAGGTCACCTTTAATCTTCATCAGAGGTAACATGAACGCGCAGCGTTATATCCACGAAGTTCTAGAACCCCATCTTTTACCCTATCTTGACACCCTGGCAGATCCAACTTTTCAACAAGATAATGCCCGACCACATGTTGCAAGAGTCACAATAGACTTCTTTCAACATAATGATATCACATTGTTACCATGGTCACCAAGATCTCCCGACTTATCCCCAATTGAGCACGTGTGGGATATGATGGGTAGGAGATTGCTCAATTTGCAACGTCCTCTTCAGACTCTAGAAGCACTTCGAGAGGAGTTGGTGGTTGCCTGGAATGAGATACCACAGGAGGACATTGACCACCTGATCAGAAGCATGCCTAGGCGCGTTGGAGAATGCGTAGCACATCAGGGTGCATCCACACATTATTAAAGGTCAAAGGGCTTTAAAGCAGTGCAATCATTTTGAAATTTTTATCATTTACTTATTATGCTTCACTAAGTTCTTATACAAAATTTTATTAAAATAAAACCATTTAAACTGGGTGCTCGGATTTATATGTCACTTAGTATATAACTAATATTTATACAAACTATATATTGTTGTTAATATGGACGCAACACAAAAGACTTAACATTAGCGTCTTTTTATAAAAAAAAAGATACAGTTTGATGATAGCAAATCTGCGCGGAATATTATGGAATAACTCATAAATGACATATATTAAACTAAGCTTATTTTACATGTTTCTATCAAAATGAATAATGTGAAAACTACCCCCACCTCTACAAAAAGTATAGCAGAATTTTCCCGGTTATCTCCCAAAGACCCTGGTTGTTCAATTTACTTCATTTTTCTCTCTTATAAAAGCAGGACATCTCGCGTTTATCGTATTAAAAAACTTCATATTACATTACAATTGTAGGAACGTCTGACGATACGCCCCTAAATGATAAAGTCACTCACCTTGAGCATCGTCCCTAAACTAAGTGACCGCACAATATAAAATTGGGTGTTTAGACTGAAACGGTCCAGTCGAAATGACACTTTTATAGATGCACTGAATAGAATGAACGCTCGATGAGAGGGATAGGATTATTGCACGCCTGTCTTCTGATAGTGAGAGCGAAAGTTCTTTCTCTTTAGAAGCTGAGAGACGAGCGACGCCTTGCTGTCTGTAGAGATAGATACGAATTGGTTTTTTATTTCGATTAGAATGCCGATATTAGTTAACAGACAAGCGAGTTATTTAAGATACAAGTATCTGAAATACGGTTACAAGATACAGAATACGTATTTTTTATATCTAAAATACTTTTGTAAAATTGTGTTTTTACCTATACCTTTCGTTTGGTATCTAAGGCCCGTATCGTCAGTCGTCCCTACAATTCTAGGGCGCGTTTATGGCCTGCTTGATTGTCATACTCCTTTCTGTCATTCAAAAATTTCTAGATTATACTTGTCCCGTGTCAGCGTCAGCGCTCTCCTATTGTAAATATATGTTTTCTTTTTAAATTGTAGAAAATTTCAGGCTGATAAAACATGATACAACTCAAAAGCAAGCACAATTTGATGCAAATAGATGTTTGTGACATAACCTCAAAATAGAGCGCTGACACGGAGAAGTAGAAAACTATGACAATCAAGGAGGCCATAAAGGCACCCTATAATTGTAGGGACGACTGACGATACGGGCCTAAGTGTTTGGTTATACCTATGCATATGGAAGAAGTTATCCTGACTGAAACACGGAAAACTAATCGATCTGTCAAACAAAAGTCGGAGGCCTTTTAAAATATTGGAAGGGGCGTCAAGTAGATGGACTCTACACTTCCTACGATTTCTTTAGCGGTTTCATGGAAAAGGGATAAGTCAAACCGTTTCAAAATGCAAAATTGATAAATCCCAAATTCAACCTAATTGTTCCGGTTATTTTCAACGCTGCAATTGCCGATTATCGAATTCATAGTTATTGAGCCATAAAATATTGCACTTCAAACTTCAACATTTAATTGGCGTAAATAATCGTAGTTCCTCGCAGATCGCAGTCGAAATATTTCGTGGTTTGTTGTCTAAAATGAGTATGAAGTGTTACAATATTCCATAGTGGTACGGAAAATACCTAATTGCAACCATTTTCTAGAACTTCTGTTGCTAATACAGTGTTTCCGATGACAGGTATTTGAACAATATGTCAATATAGAGTTTTTTTGTCGATGATTTGATGAAAAACTTCTCTGAATTCGATAGGTTTCACCATTGTTTAACGCACATAGAGGACTACGTAGACTAGAGATGGGAGATTAAACTCATAGAAGTCAAAAATGTCGAACATGAAGTAAGTTGTTAGGTACACTGCGCAGGACATGAATATGTAGAGCTGCGCATTTGGCATCTCTCTCGTGTGTACACTGCGCAGAAAATGAATTTCAGATTCTACGCATATGCATTTGTTGTTGTAGACAATTTCGAGAGTTCGGACGACTTGCAAGCAGAAATATTGTAAGATATTAACAAACCACCAACTGATAAATCTACAAAGCATGGCAAAACGTGAGTAGAAGCTAAGAATTGTCATATGAACAAAATATGAGTGCATATATCGGTTGAGCTCTATATGTCTTTGAACTATTCATCCTAACCTCGTATCTTTGGGATCTGCCGTGGTTTCTAACGTCAAAATTGACGTTGGATTCAGAGTCTACGCGCCCGAAAAACGAGTTTTTGCATTTTGTTCATAAGAACCGTGAAATACATTGTGAGGTTAAACATCTCTATTTTCTTCTCTCATTGCTACATCAACAACTGGACGCGTTAAATTTAAAAACGAGAGTAAGAAATTCGTTGAAAGTTGTAGAATCTAACTTTATGTAGAAAATAAGCTAAACTGGAGCTGTTTGGCATAACGAACAAATTCTATAAACAACGGTAGACCGTGGGTAGACTTCCCCATTTTGCTTCTACTTTTATGTCGAAAAATAATATATTCTCTCAATTATGATTACATACGTATTTTTAATAAATTACACGTTTGATCGATTTATGCAAGCAACGCTATCTGTGCGGCGATTTATTGGAAATAAGATGAGGACTAAGGTGATGTTTTGATATTTTCTTCACTAAAACGAGAAAATATGCAATAAAATATAGGCCATTCGATTTGAAAAAATACAACTTTGATATGCGGCTGAAAATTGAGACACCGTGTATAATGCTAAATATTTTTAACATGTTTCCTTACATATGACATAATCCATAAAAACTCTTTTTGAGAGGTTTTCGTATAGGCACGCACCCTGTATGAAAAAGTGAGTAGCTTCCGATTATTAGACAAAATATATTTTCCAAAGATATCCATTTATTTCTTCTTTTCGACATATCGATTTATATTGAAAAAGGGAGTAACCGATTTTTGAATAATCATTTGTTTTTGATGATTGTCACATCCTTATTCCCTCGTCCCCGACTATTTTCATGATTCTCTCAATGAGACATTTAAATCGCACCACTATTCCTGGACTATGAACACGGAATTGCCCTGCCGTCCTTCGGGCGCCATCGGTGACGCTCGGCTGATCTTTCGCAGCCCAACCAAATCCGTCTGTCAGTTTGTTTATTGACGTGTTATTAAATATTTTCAGAAAATATCTACCAAAAGTGATTCTGGCTCAAACCGATAATGTGCACATGATGGTAGTGAAAAAGTGCTGTATGACATCTTGTGACAACACTTCCAAAAACGGAGATCCGAAAATTAGCTACTATCCGTTTCCAAAGGATTTTGATCTGTACGTATGTCTGTGCATCCATTTTTAGTAGTAGTGTAACCTAAAATTTGACGTATCTAGACCAGGATTTCTTTCGCTAGCTAAAAATAAAGCTTTAACGTGTATAATAATAGAACGAGATGGATATTGCTGGTTGCTTTCAGCAAATTTAGAATTTTTCGGGTGTATCTGTTGGTTTGTGTGTAGGTTTATCGGATTTTTCATGTGCGTCTCAGATGGTTTTTAATGGAGGACCTGCGATTCTCTCGATTTGTGACCATCAGATTTATACTATACTATTTCTGTTAAGCACTCATATTATTAGATTTGAGACTGTTGTTTTTATAAAAACTATTCTGAGAATTGAGATATATTGCGATATAATTTCTTTGCCTAAAATGAAGAAAACTAGCCAACTTGTATCCTCTAGTCTACACCACTGTCAATTAAATTGATATGGATGTGAAAGTAATAGAGATGGGACCTATAAAATACATAATGATGAGTAATCATTATATCAAAGGCGACTTATTTAAATTACGTTTATTGGAATCAGAGGTTATTATCTGGCAGTTCAATGTTCCAAATGTCAATAGCTTTTCGACTAAAATACGATGATACAGAATTTTGCTAAAATCAAAAACGGCTATTCCATGTCTACTTACAACAAAGTTTTCTGTACAGTGAAGATAGAATATATTCCAAAGCATACCTCTCTAAAGGCCAGTGAGACTGACATTATTTATTCCAATTCAGTTTGCTTTGCATAAGTTTATCGTTTTGGATAGTATGCTTTGCAGTGCCGTTTGTGGCACTTACAAAATCTGCCTTCAAGTGAAACCTAATATGTTAAAACCTAAATATCCGCCCCTGGGAATGTATCTCCATAATGAAACTTGAAAAAGCAGTATTCGAGTCTTCTAAATTTCTGAAGGTAATCGAATTTGCCCATCTCTACCGTGACATCCATGTTCCACGTGATTTAGGCAACCAGTATAGCAGCTATAGCTCAGTCAAACAAGTAAGCTTGAGTGAAAAAATATAAAGGACTAAACATAATCTTTTTCAGGTGTATGCAATGGGTGCAAAACAGCGGAAAACCCGAATATTTCGAACAATTCGCCTTTGAAGGCGCGTTGCCATTTTTGACCAAACATATGTGCTCTGAGCATTTTGGGGATAGTGATTTTCTTGATGTTACCAACAGAGATATAGGGTAATGATAAATTATTGCAGTAATATTAATATTTAATGATGAGTTCACCCATATTTTCAGATTGAAACCAAATGCAATACCGAGATTGAACCTAGTACTATGTCAAATTGAAGCAGAAGTTGACATAGGTGAACACCTGGAAAATATTGAAATAAAGCAAGAACCTTTGGATTCTGGTCAGTTTTTTTAAAACAAAATCATGTTATGACATGTTTTTAGTCAAGATAACACTTCTTGATTCATAAGATTTATAATTTGATATGCACTATTTTTACCTTGTTTCTGATTTTTTTTTCAGAATCATTGGACAACATGACAGATCAAAACCCCAATGAAGATCCTCTAAAAGTTCCAATGCCACCTTTAAAATTTGGCGATGAGGGGTTCTATGACAGTCTGCATCTATCAACAATGTTGAATGGAGATGGTAAGAAAAAAAATATCTATTTATATGAATAAATTTATGAATTTTTGATTTCAGGATCATATACCAGTAATGAGTCCTGTGACAGTAGTTCTCAAACTGATGAGGGAAGGGCACTGAGGTAAATAAAAAATATTTGATACGAAGTTTTTTTTTTGGTAACTAGTTTGTTGTATGCTTGTATATACTTGTATAAGACACTAACCTTTTCAAAGTATATAGTAAATAGCTGTGACAAATTCTCATAGATGGCGCCTTAGTATCTCAATTTATATCGGATAATTTTTTGGACCCACGTTAATCGAAGGTTATCGTTACCCAAGTTGAAAGTTGAATTGAGATTTAAATACCGCGCGTTAGTGATACTCATACTTATGAATCTATGATTTTTCAGAGATCTGTTCTTTGTTCGATACGAAACGGCGTTGGATACAGAAAATAAGAAGAGGAGAATGAATGAAACTGAAGATCAAAGGAAAGAAAGGTACTGGTATGTTTTCGAAGTGTTTCTGTTTGCGTATCAATTCATTATTTAAAGTCATAAAATCAAGGGAGCATTTGAATGTCATAAATCTTGTCTTATTAACATTGAATGTCAAGTATTGTGGTATCGTCAGCAAAAACTACGAATTTACCATTTACATTTAAGTCAATTAAATCATTGATTTAGGCTAAGAATAAGATCGGACCTAATACTGATCCTTGGGGTATCCCTGCGTTTATATTTAATGTATTTGAAATATGATACTCTTACAGTTTTGACTGATTATTTAAATACGTTTTAAATCAATTGAGTGAAGTACAGTACAACTACACTAGCTTAATTTTCTTAATAGTATATCATGATTTACAGTCAAACGCTTTGGAAAAATTATAAAAAAGTTCTATTGAAATTTTCTTATCGTTTACATTTGAGCACAGGCGAAAATAGCATTCACGGTAATTTTTTGTTGTGTTTAAAATCCAAGTTGGCTGTCAAATATAATTTTTCTTGCTTTAACAAAGTGTATTAATCTAAGTAGACGTATTTTTGTCTCATTTTTGCTATAACTTATTGGTCTATAAGTTTTCGGTGAATCGGTTGGACCTCCTCCATGCAGTTGAATCAGAAATTTGTGGTTGACAGGTTACAAAAAGCCGCATCAGAAGCTAAAAGAAAAAGAAACTCCGAATCCGAAGAAGAAAAGAAATTAAGACGGATGAAGAACGCACTGGCCACTGCTATACGAAGAAGAAGAGAAACGCCAGAACAAACGGCTGCGCGCAGAGAAAAAGGTAGAATCAGAGCGAGATTGAAGAGAGCGACAGAAACCGAAGAACAAACTAAAGCTAGAAGGTAGGTAGTATCTTCGAGAATTGCTTATCGTTGCAAAAGTTACATCAAATTTCACGAATAGTGACAGAAAGGTGTTGTTCGTAACATCACAGCATTTCAGAGCGTGTTTTACGAGCTATGAAGGATACTTACGTGAACTTAGAATAAGTGGAATCCCACTATAAAAATAATACGTATTGAAAAATTGCCTTTGTCGAAAAAATGCTTAGAAAAAAGTGGCGACTATGGAGACCAATAGCTTAAAGATCAACGTTTCCAATGGTGAATTCATTGTTTCAAATAAAAAAATCATCGTGCCTGAAATAAATGTGCGAACCCTCGATCGAACCTCATTTATTTCAAACGCCATACCAAATTTTTTTTGGAGCATCATACAAAAACTTTTGCGTGTGCAAGTTTGAATAACGCAAACGTTTTTAATGGATTTTGAAGGAATTCTGGCCGGTGGTGGCGAAATACGAACTTCGTCTAGATTGAATGAAGAAGTTGTTAGCCTAAAAAAACTGTTCTCTTTGTTTATGCTTTGTGTATATATTTGTAGAGAGAAAGGTCGTATTCGGGCTCGTTTGAAAAGAATGACTGAAACTGAGGAAGAATCTAGAGCTCGCAGGTAAGTAGCTGTATATTTCGGCAGGGCTATTACGTAAAGTAACGACAAAAAAAAACGACAAAATGTCTCTTTCAGAGGTGCGTAATACCCCTGCGGAGCAGCCTAAAAATAAAATGGCAAGAATCAACTCAAAATAATGCAATGTGTTGAATTATTCTTTGGCCCGCAAAGTTAGCAGTTCGTATACTTTTTTTGGAGATAAAACACTATAATATATAACTTTTTTCTTTATCCATTTTAGAATCTAGATCTTGCAACCACACTGTCATAATTTGGAGGCAGTTTTACAACGAATGTGTCGCATAGACGTCATATTAATACTGAATGGAAATCGTCTGGAGTCAGTCTACTTGACGCCATTTTTTGAGTTTCCGGATGAGTTATTTCAGCTTTTTGCGTCGGCAATTTGTTTTCACAACAATTTATAATTTGATTCAAACCACGATGAAAATTGGAAAAATCAATTGATTTAAATCATCATTTATATAATTTGATTTAAATCCTTGCAATCCTGTTAGAAATTATACCTACATCTATCAACGGAATATAAAAAAACTAACTTTGAACATAGATACCTACGCGGCGGGTGCTTTCAGATGGAAACGTGACTTAAGGCCTACAATTGTAGGACGCCTTTATGGCCTCCTTGATTTTCACAGTATTTTTCTCCTCAAGAAATGGTGTGGCATTTCTAAATTTCTACTGCTCCGTGTCAGCGTCTCTCATTGTGAGGCTATCTTTTCTTGTTGGATTGTAGGAAATTTTAGGCTGATGCAACGGATGATAAAAATCAAAAGCAAGAATAATTCGATGCAAATAGTTATTTGTAACATAACCTCAAATTAGAGGAACTGTATAAAACTATGAAAATCAAGAAGGCCACAAAGGCGTCCTATTTTTCTAAGGTTATTCCGATAGTAATCGAGGCTATTAACTTTGTGGGCGAAGTGTGAAAACGTCAAATGACATTTTTTCTGTGTTTATACTTAGAGAAAGAGGCCGTATGCGAGCCAGAATGAAAAGAATGGCTAAAAGTGAAGCTGTGCCTTCTAGCATAAGTACTAGTCATTTAGGTGGGTAACATCTTCTTAAGCTGCTTTGTCGGTTATACAAGGTTGCTGAAAAAAGGTTTTTATGCAAAAGCAGTGCATTCAGGAAGTTTTACGACGGTCCAAACATTTAACTGTATTGGCTAATGTACATGGTTGCTCAAAATATCGTAGCAAAAATATATCAATTCCGTCAACTGTTTCGTGTTAGAAAATTATATTATCGCATTGGAACACTATGAAACTGATCAATTTCTGACGTTTATACCTTCACTGCGACATTTTTAGCAACCTTGTATACATGCTTTTTAGATGTAATATGCATATTTTTAGCTTAATTCCAGCATGGTAGAATTATTTATACTGGTTTTGATGGTGTTGGACTCTATCCTTACAAGGTGATCCAAAAGTCCCACAATGACAATTTATTTAAAATTCATAAAACTAAAACAATAGAGGTCTAGGACATTCCCGTTGCTGTTTAGTGGTGACCTTGAATTTGGCCTCAAGTGCGTGATCTTGAATGTCAAGCCAAGGTCAATACGATTTTTTCAAATGAGACCCAGTACTTTTGATCTCGGAAATGGATAGAGCGGAGAATATTACGTTCAGATATGATCTTGGGTTAACATTATGTTGACCTTGACTGCCTCGGGCAAGGTTATCGTAAAAACATGCTTTGAAAATATTTGAGAGATCATTTTAAAGATAAAAGGCAGCAGAAGCTTCAATTTTGATCTGGCTGTTCACCGATGACCTTGACACTGAGTTTTGCTGTGACCTTGATGGTCAAATCGATGTCAAAACAATTTTCTTTAACGGTACTCTAGATTGTTGATCCCAAAAATTAATAGAATGGGAAATTCTACGTTTAGCTATGACCGTGGTGTGAAAAGTCGTCTAACCTTGAACGTCCTCGTCAAAGTCACCGTAAAAACCGTTTTATCGGGGATATTTATAAAGATAAAGCAAAAATAAGGACTCACTGGCAATAAGGACTTCAATTACCCTGGCTATTCGCTGGTAACCTTGAAACTGACCTTGATTATTACCTTGGCGGTCAAATCAAAGGTCTAGATGATTTTGTTGCATGGTACCTGATACGTTTGGTCCGGGAAAACCTATAGGCCGGAAGATTTTACTTTTAGACATGGCCTTGATCGGGGACGTTCAAGGTCAAACTAATTTTTGCCCAAGGTTATAACTAAACGAAAAAAGGTTCCGAGGCAGAGTATAGGGACCCATTTAAAAAACTCTCTTGACCTTAATTTGATCATCAAGGTCACTACTGAATATCTAGGGAAAAATCCTGAACTCTACTATTTTACTTTTGTCGACACCCCTTGAATATCTTGCCGATCACCCTGTATAAACGTCCATCTTGTCCATATTTCTTTTCACGGAGCGGATGCTCCATAGAAAAATGGGAAAACCGATTGTAAACGCAGATGTTCTTGTGGACACGAGTTGCATGCATTCACTCTCTCAAAATGCTCGAAGCTAATCCTGTCGCCAAGGAAGGCGTGGCTCTCGGAAATCTAGTGCGCTTAGAATATGGCCGAGAGCGTGTGATTCGTTGACAGTCATGATGACAGCAATAGAGAAAGACGCCACATAATCAGAAACTGAAATTAATTTCCTGCGCAGCGTACTCACACGATAGCCCCGCCTTTGTCGTCGACGTTTGGCTTCACACCCAATCTCTCTATCTCTACTCGTCATACTACTCTAGTATAGAAAGCGGTTGATCCACCGCTTCTTATCATGTTGGATACAATTTTAGTGAATAAAGACCTTAGCTCGTTGATGATTCAACTCAAGATCCTGAATAGTTTGTACATTGTCCACGTAATATCGATCTTGCACGACGTCCCATAAAAGGAAGCATCAAATTGCAGCTCTTCGTGTAATCGTTTTCTCAATGCTATTTTTTTTTTTCACAGGCTCCATGAGGCAATGAGGGTGGCAGAGCGCAGACGCAACGAAACTGCCGAGCAACGGGAGCGAAGACTCAAGCGCGAAGCGGAACGGGTACGGTGCAAACGTCGAAACGAATCGCCGGAACAAAAAGCGAAACGTAGAGCCAAGGATAGAGACCGGATGAACAAGAAAAGGATGCTGAAACGCATTCTGAAGCAGATCGACGAGATATATGATAGCACAACGACGAATAGGGCACGTGTCAAAGTAAAGGTCGAACCTTCCGATGAGGTTGTGGTGACATACGCGCCGGCCGAAGACTGGTTGACAATATCTCCGGAAGTGACTTACGGTGCAGCTGGAACCAGCAGGACTATAACCGTGGGTTATGCTGATCTAGTGGCTGCCAAGAGCGCTGGGACGATAAGGGTGAGCAACGACGAATCGTTGGGGACTGAGACCCTCTCGGAGCCTTGTTTTGTTGAAGCTGGAACCATAAGGGTTGCTTATGATGAGTTAGTGGGAAGGAGGAGCACTAGTACCCTCTCGGATCCTTCTGATGCTGGAACAATGAGTGACCATGACGAGTCGGTGGGGACCAACAGCACTGGGACCCCTGCGGAGCCTTGTTGTGGCGAAGCTGGGACCGTAAGGGTTGCATATGATGAGTTAGTGGGGAGCAGCACCACTGCGACCCGCTTGGAACATTGCGCTGAAGCTGGAACAATAAGGAGTGGCAATGAGGAGATGGTCGGGACCAACAGCGCTGGGTCGCATGCGGAGCCTTGTTGTGGCGAAACTGGAACCGCAAGGGTTGGATATGATGAGTTAGTGGGGAGTAGCAGCACTGGGACCCGTTTGGAACCTTGTGAAGCTGGAACCATGAGTGACCATGTCGAGTTGGTGGGGACCAAGAGCACTGGGACCCCTGCGGAGCCTTGTTGTGGCGAAGCTGGGACCGTAAGGGTTGGATATGATGAGTTAGTGGGGAGCAGCACCACTGCGACCCGCTTGGAACATTGCGCTGAAGCTGGAACAATAAGGAGTGGCAATGAGGAGATGGTCGGGACCAACAGCGCTGGGAACCCTTCGGAGCCTTGTTGTGGCGAAACTGGAACCGCAAGGGTTGGATATGATGAGTTAGTGGGGAGTAGCAGCACTGGGACCCGTTTGGAATCTTGTGAAGCTGGAACCATGAGTGACCATGTCGAGTTGGTGGGGACCAAGAGCACTGGGACCCCTGCGGAGCCTTGTTGTGGCGAAGCTGGAACCGTAAGGGTTGGATATGATGAGTTAGTGGGGAGCAGCACCACTGCGACCCGCTTGGAACATTGCGCCGAAGCTGGAACAATAAGGAGTGGCAATGAGGAGATGGTCGGGACCAACAGCGCTGGGAACCCTTCGGAGCCTTGTTGTGGCGAAGCTGGAACCGCCAGGGTTGGATATGATGAGTTAGTGGGGAGCAGCAGCACTGGGACCCGTTTGGAATCTTGTGAAGCTGGAACCATGAGTGACCATGTCGAGTTGGTGGGGACCAAGAGCACTGGGACCCCTGCGGAGCCGTGTTGTGGCGAAGCTGGAACCGAAAGTGTTGGATATGATGAGTTAGTGGGGAGCAGCAGCACTGCGACCCACTTGGAACATTGCGGTGAAGCTGGAACAATAAGGACTGGCAATGAGGAGATGGTGGGTACCAACTGCGCTGGGACCCCTTCAGAGCCTTGTTGTGGCGAAGCTGGAACTGTAAGTGTTGGATATGATAAGGTAGCGGGGAGCAGGAGCACTGGGACCCCTTGTTGTGGCGAAGCTGGAACCGTAAGGGTTGGATATGATGAGTTAGCGGGGAGCAGGAGCACTGGGACCCTTTCGGAATCTTGTGAAGCTGGAACAATGAGTGACCATGACGAGGTGGTGGGGACCAAGAGCTCTGGGACCTTTATGGAGCCTTATCGTGATGAAGCTGGGACTATAAGGGTGGGCTGTGATGCGGTAGAAGGGAGCAGGGGTTCTGGGACCCCCGTGGAGGTTTGTGAAGGGAGAAACAGTGTGATGAGTGATGTGAAAATGGGTGATAGCGAAACGGGTAGTAACCAAGTAGGGGGAAGTGAGATTAATAGCACTTCCGCGATTACTGGTGCAACGTAGTTGGAGGAGTGACTAGATTGTTAATTCCTAAAAATGTATCAGAATAACTTAAGTTTACGTGTTGTCAAAGCCCAAAGTTCGACCAAACTGAGGACATATCGCCGATGGCTTTGATCAAAATCTTGTGTCTCACGCCTCGATGTCTGTAAGAGCCGAATTTGAAACAGCTGTCATACCTATGTTTCACTGTTTTGCTATTTTCTACGCAAACTTTCTGCAGTTATTGCTGATACATTTTAATCTAAGAAATATAACTATTTTCCTAGTCATTTTCCTATGTACATTAATAGAAAATTCATGCTGGTGTACCATGTTTTTAGTACAATATTTGCACAATACTGATATCGAACTAAACTGGTGGACAGTTGCCTTGCAACATTGCAAATTTTACGCAAATTCAAATCTCGATATTTTGACCTACTCTTTGAGAACACGTAGAAGCTTCGACCGGTGTATTGCTTTTATTTTTCTGCCTATACATGGTGAGCAAAGGAAGTCAGTTTATTTAGCGCAGTTTGCGGCTGTGTATTCTGAATTTCTGATCTTGGAAATTTTTAATTATTCGCTAAACGGCCTTCTTCCAATGATCTTATACAATTCTCTCGTTCTTTTTTAAACAAACGAGGCATTTTTGAGAAAATAAAATTATACTGTCAAGTCTACAGTCAGTATTATTGTTACTTAGCAATTGCATGTTTTAGGTGCAATTATGTAGTTAGGATGATGAAAATTCGGTAATTTTAGTTATAGCCAAATTTCGAAAAATTTGAGATATCACCTTTTTTTAGGATAGTCCAAAGATCAAACGGATGCATAGAAAAAATTCCAAGATCAAAAATTGAGAAGCTAACATTTCTAAAATAACCTGATTTCCTATGCTCACCATTTATAGGTAGATAAATAAAAGAAATATACCTGTCGAACTCTGTACGTGTTCTCAAGAGTTGGTCAAGAACCTCCCGAATAACTCAACTTGATATCTTTGTTCCGAAAATATCGAGATTTGAATTTGGTAAAATTTTCAATGTTGCCCAGCAAATGTCCACTAGTTTATTACAACTTATATTTTTAGGTAGAATATAATATGTTGTTCTATTCTCCTTTTGGACTGGTACCATTGCTTAACCTACCTGAATATAGTCCATCATAATAGCGCCAAAAAAATTATCCTAGATGAAATGAGATACGGTAGGGTCATATATAATCACGATAAACAGTCTTTATTGATTTTCATAGACAAAGAAATTGCGCTTTGAAAAATACAATACAATCCCAGTGGCACAGTCTAGCTAATAGCTATTTTACTTAAACACTGGATGGCAGTGTCCAAATAAGAATACAATTAAAACTGGAATTAAGCCAAAGAATCGATGAAGATGACAAGAAAATAAATAGTAAATGAAGTTTACTAAAAGCATTCGCAAAGATACATGCATGTAGTGATTATGCTTTCAACTTTTTACTACCATACAGAATGTACGACAGGAGCAGTAAATTTTATTTGTTTACTCGAAAACGGTGCATCCGACCAAGAGGGTAAATTTATTGCAAAATAAATGACGATTTCAAAAACGAAAAAGCAGTGTCGTACCATATGTTTTTTACGCCACTGGTAGAAATATTAAACAATATTCTACATTAAAAAATGCCTTTTGGTGCTTAGTAGGTGCACGTCAAATTCCATGAAAATACCCAAAACAATATTAGAACACGAATTTTTTAGCTATCAATTAAATTACATCCTGTGTATGCCGTGTACGTTAATACATATTTTATTAATGGCCCCAGTATAGACCCTTGGGGCACCCCATGACGAGTGGCTACAGCGCCATCTATGAGACACTAACCTTTTCAAAGTATATTTAGTAAATAGGGAAACAGCTGTGACAAATTTTCATAGACGACGCTAGTACGCGACTGTATTTTCGCACTTTATTAATATAATAATTGTATTTTATTCTTTTTTGCTAGCTCATTACTTGTGGTCGATATTAATATCCGCTTTACACGATCTAATAAATTGAACAATTTTTTAAGCTTGCAGAACTTTGACCGTAAAAACTTTAAAATCGCTGTCAATTTTTGGGGGAATTCTAGTTACTTTTGGCCCTTTTTCCTAGATACCAACCTTGGTTATTCGACGCGTTGACGTTTTGTGATTTGAGAGTAAAATTATAGTCCTTACAGGTTGGCTTGGTTTTTTGGTTTTAATTTACGATTTGATATGGTGTTATAGGAAGTTACATGTATTCTTGACACAAATAAATTTGGTAATGCAATTTCGCTGCGGGTTACCTTGAAGAGAAACATCAATTTTTGAGACATTTATTCGTAAATTTATTTTACTGTGTAACAACCTTATCTCATTTCTCCAAGTTAGTAATTCTGTCCGAGTTTTTTTTGAAACAGAGTTTGAAGTTTTGACTACGCAATCTCATTTTATCTCGGTTATTTTTTCAGGTAGAATAAGTTACTTGTTCCAAATGCGTCCATTATAAAACTACCTATTATAATGTTATTTGATCAATATATATTTATCGCTTATTTGCAATATTGTCAGAGGTTATTCTAATAAATGTTTTCTAACTTATACCTGTACTCTTATTTGACTCCCTAGTGGTAAAATCGAGGTTTCTGTCATAAAGAAGATTTACGTCATTATACTACAATGGTCTTTTCACGGTTTTTGGCGGTTACGTTACAATATACGGGGTGGCCCAACGGATAGGTCGCTCCCCTACTGGTGACTCTCTCCTGGTATATTTTGGGAAAAACGTTCGGTCACGTCAATTTTGATTTCTAGTGGGACTTTTCATCGAAACAGTCCGAATATGCCTCGTTTTCGAGATACTTGGAAGAATTCCACTCAAAAATATCTAAAAACTGTTGCACGTCTCTGATCGAGATGGAAGCTAGTTTTCTAGGTAAACCGGGTGCGTAGATTCCGAATTTGATGTCAATAGGAAGGATTTACTGCTAGCCCCGAAAAAATAGTGTCAATTTTTTATGATAAATCCGGTCTGATGACAGTTTAGAATTGTTCCACTACAATATCCATATTCAGCGCCCCAAATTACCTCATTGTGCAAAGTTTCACTATTATGTAGCCATCGATAGTAAAAATGGATTTTTAGCACGTCAATATAGTAAAATTTTGACTGGAATAATTTAGCCACAGTGCAGAAAATGTTGAACAAAGCTAGAATGTAAAACAATGTTATTAGGTGACTGAAATTAAATAAAAAAGTATTGCATCAGAATGATTTGAAACATGGTACAGTATATAGACAACCGTAACTACCCCAATTTGTATTACGGGTTGCATAGACGTACGCTTCGTTAGTGATTGTGAATACGTATACAGGGTGTCCAAAAAAAGAACAACTTTCATTCGTGTAAAGGCTGTTATGAAAATTTAATGAATACAAAATTCTCGCGTTGATCTTTCGATCTACTGAAAGTCTAAGGAATTTTCAATTATGAAGCCTAGTAAGGCTTGTTTCAAATGTGGAAAAAGCATTGATTTTTTAATTTGTGCACATCATAAACTTTCGAGAAGAGGATATTTTTAACACGCTTATATTAGCTTGGCTGTAGGTATGTAGCGGAATCTTCGAGCATAATTTTCACCAATTTCCAGAAGTTTGATTAATTTGAAACTTCGCACACGTATCAAGGACCGATGACAATGCGATAATATGAAGTTTTCCATTATCCTTATTCATAAGTAAAATTCTGTAAAAAGCAGATATGTTAACAAAAAGCCACGGATTTCAAATGCCGCTTTACGAATACTGAACTTACAAGCTTCTGTAGCTCAAGTGGCGAAGTGCTGGTCTTGCAAACCAAGGGTCGTGAGTTCAATCCTCACAGGAGGCAGATTGTGGTATACCCTTTTTTTTAACACGCTTTTATTAGCTTGTATGCATGACAGAATCTTTGAGCAAAATTTTCACCAATTTACGACTGCCATGTCAATACGGATTTTGTTTGTTTGTATCTGAAAAGGAAAACCCCGACTTTGCGGACACTGTATAGATTGTCCCAGGGATACGCAGTAAAGTGCTTTTTATTTTTTATCTCGCAAACGAAGCAAGATATGAAACTCGGGAGATAAAAACGTTATATTTTTAGCTGCTTAATTAAAAAAAAAAAAAAAAATAGAAATTTCAGTGACCCACAGATTTTTTTGTCAAATATATTGGTTGGGGCGTTTTTCGGGACCCCACTGAACTTAATAATTTCAATTTAATTAGACCTAAATTAGCCCCTTGTTGCCCTTAATATCACTGCTGAATTTTAACAAAATCGACTGAAAGATATTCAGAAAAATCCCATTTTCCAAAAAAAGTATCTTGAAAATAAAGCATTTTTGGACCTATGTTTATATGAACTTTTCACTTTAACAGTACCCAAAGAATCTACTCCTGAAATTTGGCCATATACTTAAATAACTCCCTGTATAGAGGTAAAATAAGAACTTCGATCAATTTGTTAGAATTTTATAATTTGTATAAAAAGCAAGCGGTAGATAAAGAAAGCTCGTTAAGCGTTTGATAAATATTTCGTCCAATTTTCACCAGCGTTCCCGTCAGGGAGCACCCAGCCAATAGGAATGCTTGAACCCATCTCATTGGTCGGTGGAACCAAAAACGTGTCCCAGCTCCTCCTGAAACAAGGAAAATCCACCCATCAAAAGATATATTTGAAATTATTTAAGCCCTATTTCAAGGTATCCACATTTTGAGGTTAACAGCTGATAAAAACTTAGATACAAGATCGAACCACTCACATCAGGCCTCACAGATTCGGTAGGAAGAACCAGGCTTAATATTGTAGATAGATCCAAAAGTTCTATACCTTTGTGAAATATTCGAAAACGATTCATACCTTAATGCAATGAACGTTTCCATATCCCTTTCCGCAGCAGTCAATGCCCAATACATCGTATTTTCCGGAGAGATCGCTTCCATTGGTCCAAAGAAAACAGTATACCATTCATCCAGCAACTTGCGCTCCTTTGCTAACTGAATGCTTTTCGAATCTTCAACTGCTGTTTTCTCTAACATCAACTTCAATCGTTGTTCCTCCGTCATGTATGTCCTCGAGGAGTCCTCCCACATTTTTGACAATTTTTCTGCAAGGAAAAGTACTCATCGAACAACTAAGCATGCTACATCCCAAACAGCAACGTCTTTAAAGACGTCCATTTTATGCACTAATAGAAAATGATGAAAACATAGACCGCTTTAATGGCGAAAAATAAAGCTTCCGCCTTTTGTTGGGTATTTCGACAAAATTCAAGCAGAGGACTCCTTATACTTGTATTAATCTCTAGCTTTCAATGAACTTTGCCATCTTCATCAGGAGCTGTAATAACATTGAGAAGAAATAGCAACTATTGTGCAAAATGATTTTGAATTAACTTACAGTAGTATGTCAGGTTGTTGCTAAATGTTATTAACGTTTTGGGGATACACCCAGTAACCTGGTGAATGCTGGATACATGCTACATTTGTCAAAATTAATATAAACTATACAAACGGTGGAAGCTTTATTTTTCACCTAATTGGTCTTAACGACAATGATCACGTCTATATATATATATACATATTGACAGTAAACTAAAGTTTGGGGATCACTATGAATACATTATTTAAAAAATTGACCAACTATTTTTAAAGGGCTTCTCATAGTCTTAGTACATATTCCAAAACAAAAAAAAAACAGTTTATAATACAATTATTCTACCGCATTTACTGTATTGTTCACTGCCAATGAAGCTGTACTATCAAATTTACTGAATAGTCCTGCAAAATAAAGCTATGAGAATATTGAATAAAAATAAGTACACCAAAATAAAATCTATGTTAAAAAATATAATATAATGGTTCTTATTTTTATATTTAAAATAAAAAATTATCTTTTGCCACAACATTTAGAACACTACATAGAATTGAATAATCATTACTACAATTATTATACAAGAGGAAATATAGATTTTCACTTACAAAACTGCAATAGTAATATAACTAGCAAATCAATATTTCAGAAAGGATTACTTGAATTTAATAAGCTGAATAATGATATGAAGTCTACTTGTAATTTGAAGATGTTTAAAAGAAAATTAAAGGAATATTTCATAGACAGTGAAAATTCTTAGAGATGCACATTTTGTTTTTTCCAAATATCTGTATGTTATGTAATTGTTGAGTTTTTTAAAAGTACTATGCAATAATGTAATGTCCGAACGCCTGAGACATTGAAAAGCCGTTTTTAAGAATATCTTGACACCACAAAAAACAAACATCTTCAAGATGTTTTATTGCCTTTTAGAAGACGTGGTTGAGATTTTACGAATTTAGCAGAATTCGCAAAGGATATTTTCTTTCAAGTGTGTCTTGGACTTACCCATAGAGGTTCTGAAAACTTGTTTATCCTCCGCCGACATTTTTTCGCCTCTATGTGACGCCATCTGTTCCCTGACAGCTCGTAACTTTGTCAAAGCACCTATGAGCGTCAACTGTTTACGAGCATCAGACTTTTTCTTTGTCACTTCTCCCAATACACAATCTGCGTCTTTTTTCATGTTTTCGTCCTGAAACAATGTGACATACATATTTCATAGGTCTAGGATACTGTGCAGTGTATCAAGAAACGATAAAATTTTAGTCTTTGACGAAAATAAGCATAATAATCGTATATAATGAACCGCTTACTGTTTTACACTTCTCTACCTCCTCTTGCTTACTCCGCAACCACTCGTCAATCGCTTTATGCAATTTCACTCGGTTTATTAGCTTCTCCTCGATCTGTTGTTTTCTGAATTCCTTGGTTTTCTTCTTGTTCAACCGTTTCCTCTTCCTTTTGTCCAACATTTTCTTCAAGGCGAATATTCCTTCGCCGTTTTCGAATTTCGACATCAATTTAGTGAATCTATCTTTGAACGTCGCGATCTCCAAGGTTTTCTGTTTCCAATCCGTAGAAGGTATGTGGTCTACGTTTGCCAGCATGCCTTGTTGAATTTTGGAGAGTTTTTCCAGGAGGATCAGGCATTCTTTCAAAGAGTTTTGGGCTTCTCGTATCGATATACTGTCGGCTGTTGGAAAAACAGTATGTTTAGGATTTCTAACGGATTGTCAGGTTGATAGTTTTTCGACCAATCAAATAATCTCATTTTGAAATTAAAGGATCTGTCGCAAAGTAAATAGGACTTTTGAAAGGTATCCGATACAAGTAGCGCCATCTATTATCGGCGCTGGATAGATACACCTTTCATTGATGCCGTGTCAAAATTTCATGACGAGTTATCAATTACGAAAAACTGAGGAGAATTACGCGCAGGCGTTGTGTGTAATTACTGTTAGCATGTATACTAAGTGACATATAAATCCGAACACCAGTTTAAAAATGATTGCACTGCTTTAAAGCCCTTTGACCTTTAATAATGTGTGGATGCACCCTGATGTGCTACGCATTCTCCAACGCGCCTAAGCATGCTTCTGATCAGGTGGTCAATGTCCTCCTGTGGTATCTCACTCCAGGCAACCACCAACTCCTCTCGAAGTGCTTCTAGAGTCTGAGGAGGACGTTGCAAATTGAGCAATCTCCTACCCATCATATCCCACACGTGCTCAATTGGGGATAAGTCGGGAGATCTTGGTGGCCATGGTAACAATGTGACATCATCATGTTGAAAGAAGTCTATTGTGACTCTTGCAACATGTGGTCGGGCATTATCTTGTTGGAAAGTTGGATCTGCCAGGGTGTCAAGATAGGGCAAAAGATGGGGTTCTAGAACTTCGTGGATATAACGCTGCGCGTTCATGTTACCTCTGATGAAGATTAAAGGTGACCTGGAACCGTAAGCTATAACACCCCAAACCATAACTCCAACAACTCCAACAAAAAACTGTGGATTCCTCCTTTCACCACGTCGCCTTCTAACCCTGGCACGACCATCGTGCATGCCTAAACAAAATCGAGACTCGTCACTAAAGACAATACTGTTCCATTCCTGATCCCAGAGTGACCGTTGTCTGCACCACTCAAGGCGATTACGTCGGTGTTCTCGAGTTAAAGGGAGGACCCAGTGTGGCTGGTATGAAAACAAGCCAAAACTTCTCATTCGTCGGTAAACACTTCGCATGCCAATAGGTCTTCCGTATTCTGCAAACCATTCATTTGCAATGGACCTGGTAGTGGAGAAACGGTCCCTTAAGGCCAATAATCTTAGGCGGCGATCTTCACGGTCTGTTGTTCTACGGCGGCGTCCAGTGCCCCTTGCTCTTTGCGTACGGCCTTCTCGAAGCCATGCCTGACAACTCCTAACCACAGTGTCTACACTTCTTTGCACTCTAACTGCAATTGCCCGAAAAGAAAGTCCAGCTTCTCGAAGTCCCACTATACGGCACCTATTAAACTCACTAAGTTGACGAAATCGTACAGGTCTCCGTACTCTAGGCATCGTAACCGATCGTAAAGGACGTCAAGAACCAAAATCCGCCAACGTTGATTCTTTACTGCGGCTGAAATATTCATTTTTAGAGTGTTAGTGAATTAAAAAAAAGCAGTATAAAAACCGGAATGTCCAACTGATAAGGCTGAAAAATTTTTTACTTGTTATTTACAGTAAGATAAATACATTCACCAACTTTTATTAAAATAAAACCATTTAAACTGGGTGTTTGGATTTATATGTCACTTAGTATATTTCAAAGCTTGAATTTTTCTTTTTATCCAGTATTACTTCAAAATTGTAATTTAAGCATATTTTTCGTTATATCTCCTAAGATATTGATCTGCGGTTTTCGCTGTCTTATACGATTAATTTGCTCTTTCCGGCAGCCTTAAAAAAGCATATATTGTGTTTGAAATTTTCGATAAAATTAAAAATAAGTTTTTAAACATGCAGCAATTAATAATATCTAAAAAAGCACTTTCATAAGTTCAAACAAACATTTATCTAGGATCACTTCAATTGTGGAAAAATAGATCTTATCATATACCTCAATATACAACAACCTGTTATAGAATGTTTTGAGATACGAAATGCATTTGAAACAATGTATGCTAAAAAAATAGCAACAGATTAAATTATAGAGATAAAGCATTTCATGTTTTCCGAGAAATTATACACACTTGATGATCAAATATATTATACCAGGTATCTAAATAAAAGTGAATCATAATGATGAGTCATAACAATGAATGATATGAAAAAAGGTAGATGGTAGTTATATGATAAACATAATATCTAAAACTCACCATGAATCATTTAAAATCATAATTTTGTACGCTTGAACTATACATTAACCCTGAAAAACCTTACACCCTTTAGGGTAAATGAGATTTTGATCATATATATTAAATTAGAAAATACTGAAAAAGGATATTCAGCAATTTCAAAATATTTTAACAATGTTCTTCCACCAATTTCAAAACGTTTTTACAAAGCTCAAAAAAAGAAAGTACGAGTAAAATTGAGTTGCCAAAAAATGTAGAGTAAAAATAGTTAAAAAATAGTATCAAGGAGGTTGCCTCCCCACTTCCAATCAATTCATTACGGTCAGGATGAGTTAGTCCCCTCTGAGCTAGCTAAGAACATGTATAATAAGGCAATTAGATGGATCAAGTCAGCCAAACGCTCCAGCAGGAATGGGTATACCAGAGTAGAGCACAAAATGGCTCCTCTTAGTTGGGAACTGGCTGGTTTGATATTGCCTCATGGCCGATAAACGTTTGGAGAGTTTCAATTTTGAGTTTGCCGGAAACAATGAATATTTTGATAATATATAGTAGAAAACACCAACTTTATCACTCCCTAATCAAATTTGCAGCATAAAAATAACACATGTTGCAATTACAGCATATCAACCTATTTTCATTTCAATGCAAAATGAGTCTATAACGCATAGGTGGCCATGAAAAATAAAAGCCATGACAATTGTTTTCATTAATCACAGCTGTCAGAATACGTTTAAAATAGTTTTGGGTAGTTAAGGTTTTCAAAATGGGTAGATGAAAGGTTATTAGTGAGAAAATCCGGTTACTGACAATTAAATTTTTTAATTCTGGGAAATCAAACTCAGAAATATTGTTAGAAGATATAACGTAACTGGTTCAGTTAATATGAAAAAAAGTAATATCACAAATGCCGACCGAAGAGCATTAAGAAGAATAATCATGAAAAACAGGCGTGCCAATTATGTACAATTGTAGTGTGAAGTGACGCTGTTGGAAGGAGAATTTCGAGGTCCACAACACATAGAGAGGCCCACAAACTGGGATTTAGCACTTGCAAGGTAAGTTTTCCTATAAAAAAGAGTCTGGTTAAAACCCAAAAGTTGCACAACTTGTTTATAGGCCAAAGAAAAGCCACTATTAACTCCACTGCAAAAGAAAAATTGGCTTAGATGGGCTAAAGAACATAGACAATGGACACCTCAATAATGGTGTGCAATACAATGGAGTGATGAGGCCTGATTCGAAGTTCGTGTTGGTGACAGTCGCAGTAGAGTTATTCGCAAATAAATGTAGCTTTCCATGTTGACTGTCTGAAGAGAAAAGTGAAATTTCCAGCATCCATTATGGTCTGGGGCAGTATGTCATCAAAAGGAGTAGGAAAACTTCATTTTATTGATGGATACAAACAAATATTTGGCAATTTTAGACGAATCGCTTTTACCAGTGATTGAAGAATGTTTGACATCCAGCCAAGATTTTGTGTTTCAGCAAGATGGTTATAAAATGGATGGAAGAAAATAATGTACCACTTTTGAAATGGGTTTCTAGCAGTCCAGATCTGTCACCTATTGAAACTTTGTGGCACGAGATGAAAAAGGTTCCACGACAACATCCTGCTTGACAATCACCGAACTGAGACAAAAGCTTCAAGAAATATGGGATTGTTTTACTCCACATTTTTGCTAAAACTTGGTTAACACTATGCCCCAAAGAATTTCAGCCATAATAAAAAATAAAGGCGATGTTACCCAATGGTAATCTTTCAATTGTAGCTTTGTTAACTTCCCGCATTTATTCGCACATTGCTTATTGGTTCAGATGTTCTATTAGTTATAGGTCTAAGTAATTTTAAATATGTATTTTTTACGACTAGAGTGTATCTAAAATGTTTTTGAGAAAATAAATTGTTTTAGAAGTAAATAGTTTCGTCATGTTTAGTTTATAAAGGCATATTTTGGTACAAATCTTGAAGTGGGCCAACCGAAGTGGGAAGGGGCTCGTATTAGCAGTGCAAAATTCAGAGTTATATACAAAAATGCGGCCAATTAATGTACTGCCAGATGTCAAGAAACTCTTAGAGGAGATTGAATATATTGGAGAAAATAACATATAGACAAAATTATTCTAGTTAAAAAATCATACAATATCACTTAAAAAATTTTAAGAGATATGCTTACTTTTGCCGTCAATGGAAAGGGAGGTTATTAATTAAATCTGCTTAATTTCGTAAAGTACTTCAACTGTCCCTTATAAAGTTCTATATCTTGCTTTCCTATGCAAATAATTAAGCTTTTTTCACTCTACCATAAATACGTGAATAATTATAATATATGCTTACCTTTGTTAATCTTCACTTTCGGAATAGGCTTATAGACACTATTCTGCTGCAACCACGATTCTATCCAAATTTCATCATTGGACTGGCTATACAAAGTCTGTAAAATATTAGTCCTTGGGTCGGTAACTAAAGGCACTTCTATATTAACATTACGATTAGAAAAATTTTGGTATTTGAAAAAATTCATTTTCAAGTCTTTATAATAATACTCAAAACACAAAGACCTAACACATGTGCAGTTCGCCGGGCTTGGGTAATTGACTCTTAGCGTCTTCCAATACTTTCTGAGCCGCCAAATAATCTTCAGTATCTTTCAAATCTTGCTCAGTCTCCAAGATGTTCTTCAGCTCTTCGTAAGCTACTACTAGACGTCGTTGGCAATCCGGTACCATCATATAGCACTCATTCAGTACTTCTTCCTGCTTCTTGATGTTGTATTCGTCTTTTCCTTCGCTTTTCAGTTTTTCTATGCGAACCTTCTGTTGATCTGCTTCTCTTTCGTACACGGTTTTTTCCTTAGCTAACCTTCTTACAACACCTGTTTTTATTTTGATCGTTCTTATACGTGGATCAGCCATTACAATGTTACAGCGTTCGCGAGGGAAAAATTAGATCCTGAACTTTTGATAATTTAACATTAGGTAAATATTTCTTTTGTTTGGATGTGAATATATCAAAAAAATTGTCAGAACTCAAGAATCTACCACACACCACACACGAATAAACGAGACACGAGACAGAGAAATGTCAAAAAATACTCGTATCGATTGGTTTTGTCGCGCTTGTAGTGATGAGTACGGTACATCTTCGGTACTCAAATATTCGTTAATAGTGTTGGGCGTATGAAAATCGCAGTATTGAACCGATTCATTACTCAATATAGGTGGCGCAGCTATCGCTTTATTATAACAGATATTCTTCTATGGCGTATTGTTTGGGGGCTAAGATTATTCCTTCTAAAATATTCAGTTAGTTCCTCGAAGATGCAATTTGATCGACTTAGGTCTCACACTTCTTTATTTTATTAAAACCCTGTCTCCTCTTTCGCATTGCGGTTTTTGGATGCGAGCCATCTGTTGATCTGCTTCTCTTTCGTACACGGTTTTTCCTTAGCTAACCTTTTTACAACACCTCTTTTTATTTTGATCGTTCTGATACGTCGATCAGCCATTACAATGCTACAGCGTTCGCGAGGGAAAATTAGATCCTGAACTTTTGATAATTTACCATTAGGTAAATATTTCTTTTGTATGGATGTGAATATATCAAAAAAATTGTCAGAACTCAAGAATCTACCACACACACGAATAAACGAGACAGAGAAATGTCAAAAAATACTCGTATCGATTGGTTATGTCGCGCTTGTAGTGATGAGTACGGTACATCTTCGGTACTCGAATATTCGTTAATAGTGTTGAGCGTATGAAAATCGCAGAATTGAACAGATTCATTACTCAATATAGGTGGCGCAGCTATCGCTTTATTATAATAGATATTCTTCTATGGCGTATTGTTTGGGGGCTAAGATTATTCCTTCTAAAATATTCAGTTAGTTCCTCGAAGATGCAATTTGATCGACTTAGGTCTCACACTTCTTTATTTTATTAAAACCATGTCTCCTCTTTCGCATTGCGGTTTTTGGATGCTAGCCATCTGTTGATCTGCTTCTCTTTCGTACACGGTTTTTCCTTAGCTAACCTTTTTACAACACCTCTTTTTATTTTGATCGTTCTGATACGTCGATCAGCCATTACAATGCTACAGCGTTCGCGAGGGAAAATTAGATCATGAACTTTTGATAATTTACCATTAGGTAAATATTTCTTTTGTATGGATGTGAATATATCAAAAAAATTGTCAGAACTCAAGAATCTACTACACACACGAATAAACGAGACAGAGAAATGTCAAAAAATACTCGTATCGATTGGTTTTGTCGCGCTTGTAGTGATGAGTACGGTACATCTTCGGTACTCGAATATTCGTTCATAGTGTTGGGCGTATGAAAATCGCAGTATTGAACAGATTCATTACTCAATATAGGTGGCGCAGCTATCGCTTTATTATAACAGATATTCTTCTATGGCGTATTGTTTGGGGGGTAAGATTATTCCTTTTAAAATATTCAGTTAGTTCCTGCAAGGTGCAATGTGAGCGACACAGGTCTCACACTGTTTTTTACTTAAAAAAACCTTGTCTCTTCTTTAGTATTTCGTTTTTTCGATGCGAATCCTTTGTTGATCTGCCTCTCATTTGTACAAGTTTTTTTTACTAACGTTACAACGCTTGCGAGGTTAAAATTAGGTTATGACAATGTGAGAATTTATCATCAAATAAGTATTTGGTATATTTTAGGTGAAGAATAAACAATGATTAAATGTAGAAAACGCATGTTAAAATCTCAATGCCTGGCCAGCTTCATACAAAACATGAAATGCACAGAACACAGCAAAAGTTTATAAAAGTATTATTCCGGAATGAGAAAAATGTTCATGTTCAGGTTAGTTTCGACATTGACAGCATTTCTTGTTTTTCTTCCCGAGTCAATTTACCTTCAGTGTACCATGGAGTTAACATTGGAGCATCTGGAGATTAATAAAATAAAGATCTTATTAAAATCTAATACAGATGAAACAAAAATCAGGAAAAGATTACAGTATTTTCATATAAACATTTCCAATAATTACTTACCATCATCTGTATCATTATAGTGCGTCCTTTTATGAATGCTCAACAGTTTTTTGGACGTTATCCTGTATGTACATTTAGGACATTGATGTATTTTCAAATTTCCCGACTGGTGCAAAATCATATGTCTAGTTGCCCACCATTCCACCTTGGTGGTGAAGAAACACTCGCTACATCTGAAATCCTCTTCTAAGAGAATTTTAGGATGACTGGAAAGATGTAGATTTTATATAACAAAACTGCTTCATCTCGTCCAACCAACCGCGTATAGCTGTTCTCATGCTTATTGGCAATCCATCAACATGGTTTAAAATGGGACTTTTTTTCTGGGTCCGTTCATTTTCCCACCAAAGTCATGATGATGATTACCAAAAAGCATGAAAGGGATGTCTCGATAGGTTGGATTTGCAATTTTCTCAATACTGGCAAAATTAGACAGGGCGTCCGCAAAGTTGGGAATTTCTGTAGTCGGCGTATAGATCTTGATTTCTAGTATCATATACACCAAAGTCTCACGATCGGTTAGAAAAAACCAAAATAGCATACTCGTAGACAATATCGAACTTGTCGACACGATTTTAATTTATGGTGAGCGTCTTCAAGATGCTACCGAGGCTTCGCGAGTGAATGCAGATCGTTTTCCCACATGTCATTCAAGATCGCGTGAATTTGTTTACCGTCATTTACCAACCAGTTAGGAAAAAAATAAAATGGCACACTCTTAGATCAATATCGAACTTGTCGACATGATTTTAATTTATGGTGAGCGTCTTCAAAAGACTACCGAGGCTTCGCGAGTTGTACAGATCGCTTTTCCCAGACGTTATCATTCAAGGAAGCGTGAATTTGTTTATCTCATCTAACGTGATGAACAACTTCCAAAATACTCAAGTATGGTAATTGGATTTTCAACATTTCAAGTATTTGTACTGGCATGCTGCATGGATTTTCCCGAATCGGTGTACAGTACCTGCACTTTCTACAAAACATTTTAACAAGGGCGACAACTTTGAAAATGAACGGTAAGTACTTTTTCATTTATTTTTTAGTTTTGTTATTCCAAGCGTAATTGTTTCTGGAATGGAATGTCCCAGCTCTCACGACACCCTGTATATTTAAAATTATTTATTTTAACGAGTTTATATACCTAACTACGGGTTTTTTTGTATGTTTTTGCAATACGCTATACGTATGATCAGTTCCACATGCCCCTAGCGCTCGTTTCTGCACGGATAAGACATATGAACTGCTTGTAGCGATATCCATTCTATCCAATTGTGGTGGCGAATCGGCAGATTCCGTCTCGGAATCTGATGATGGTTCTACTTTTGGTTCGGGGAACCAGATTTCAATATCCATATCACATGGCGGCTCCTGCTTTATTACTATGGTGCTACACTCTCCTACAATAACAAAGTGCAAAAATCAACCTATAAGCGTCATTATATTTCAATAGAAGATACCCAACTCAATACGCTTGTGATGCAAATATTGGTAATTTATTTTTATTTACAGTCTATATTGCTACAGAAAGCTACTTTCAACATCATGTTACAAATGTGCGCTATAAAATTACGAGTATTAATTAGTAAAAAATGGGGAAAAGAAGCAAACATTTTTGTGAGTCTGCAATGTTGTCAATCATGCATCAGGTAAAAGTTATAAATAAAAGAGCTGTTAGCAAGTACAAAATGAGTCTGTAGCGTACAAAATAACCAAAACAAAATACGGCTCTGACGGATCCGTCAGAATTAGGTGTCCTGTGTCGATATGGGGAATTGAATGAGATAATACTAGATAATCAGCTGTCATTCTACCGTGATGGATGCTCGTGACCAATGCTTTGTCGCTGAAATTGTGTGTAAAGAATACGGGTTGACAAAAATTGACAGCAAATTGAATAAACATAGATTAAAATAGAAAACCATGACTCCATTAGATGTGATGTCACTGCAAAGCGCATGAAAAATGGTACCTTTTAATAATTGACAGCAAATCATGAATCAAATTAAACAAATATAGAAGAACATGAAAAATCATGACTCCATTAGTTGCGATGTCACACATAGAACAAAATACGGCGTTTAAATCAAGATCATTGGCGTTGCACTTTAAAATATTTCATTTAAAAAAAATGCAGAAATTGCCATAGATGGTATTCTATTAACATAAATAATCGACCGAAAATACAAAAAAATGCATATTCCCCATTGAAAGCTAAGGTAAGCAGCACTTCGGAGAACAAATATGTTTATCATAAGGGAGAGGGGGAGGTTGTGCTTGCAGCTCCCATGAAGCACTAAGGGTTGTATTGTCGGTAGTTCCTACAATGGTAGGACGACTTTATAGCCTCCCTGGTTTTCATAGGGTTTCCCCTCCTTCAGAAAGGCTGGGGTATTGCTAGATTTCTAATGTTTCGAGTCCTCTCTCCTAGTTATGTATTATTTTTAAAAATTTGTAGGAAATTTCAGGCTGATAAATCCCAAAAACATGAAAAGTATGATGCAAATAGATATTTATAACATAACCTCAAAATAGAGCGCCTTCTTGAGGGACAGGAAAAACTAAGAAAATCAAAGAGCGTCCTACAATTGTAGAACGCCTTTGAGAGTTTAGAGTCACATTGTGAAATATATGGAAAAAATGAAAAAAATGAGCATTCCAAGAGAAAAACGGTTAATTTTACATAAATTCTACATGAAGTTATTTACCTGTATTATCAGAGTTATCAGAAGCCTGGTTATATAATCTATCTGACTCTTCTGTAGCACTTTGTTGATTTAGTTGCATTTCCAATTTTTTTTTCACATCGTTCTTTATCCTGTCTATCACATTTTGTGGAATCAAACTTTTACTTAGTAGCCTATACTTTTCTACTCAACTGTAACTGTCCTTTGATTTTCCGTGTGATCGACCTCCAGTCAAAGGCAATATTTTCCCAATACCTATTCACGAAAATTCTTTATAGTCTTAACACTGATTCTACTTAAAAATGTCCAATTAAAATAGTCATTAGAGTCATGGATACTGTTTTTATTATTTCTAAGGGAATTACTGCAATGAACTGGTAGTTTATTAAATAAATAAATACATACCCAGTTGGAAAATCCGTTTCCAATTTCGTGTGGGTGTAGTATAACTGAAGAAGTATCAAATCCTCATTATTATAAACACGACCTGAAACAGAGCTTTACTTAGGGCAGTATCATCAGTCGTTCCTACAATTGTAGGACACCTTTATGGCCTCCTTGATTTTCATAGTTTTCTACTCTACCAAAAGTCAGGTCAATATCTCAGTTGTCAAAAAATGAAAGGTGAACTATCAAAGATGGACAAATCCTGACCTCTTCTATTATGGAAACAAAGCACCTTCATTTACCGATCGATTAGAAAAAACAAAAACAAAAAGGCAGATCAATATCGAACTTGTCGACATGATTTTAATTTATGGCGAGCATCTTCAAAATGCTACCGAGGCTTCACGAGTGTGTACAGATCGCTTTCCAAGACGTAATCATTCAAGGCTGCTTCCAGCTCAATTACTCACTTTTAATATCGGTAAACAGGCTGGTTCAAAAAAAAATTTTTATTTCAGTACCTTCAAGGGACAATTTTTAACTAGCATCAATCTGGCTTTATGATAATACTAATTTTTTTCACTAATTATAGACTATTTGGCAACACCTGTGATGTAGTTGCTGTAGTTTTTTTCAACATGTTCATGTCACACATTTGTGTGACATGAACAAAAGTCAATGAGACAAAAGACATGTCAATATCTCAGTTGTCAAAAAATGAAAAATGAACTATCATAGATGAACAAATCCTGACCTGAATTATGGAAGCAAGGCACCTTTTTTTTTATATTTCAACATGCTTATCGTGAAAAGATTCTGTAACACACCAACTCTTACTGATATCGTTGAACATACCATGGCCCAGTTGGTCATTTTCAAGCTCTCCTCTGTGATTGCTAGTTTGACTATTAGCAGATAGGGTCAATCTAGATTCCTCCCGAGTACTATTGTTTTCAGTCTCATGATTTGATTTCAGCTTGCAGTTTCTGTTCAGATATGACCTAGACTGACTCTTTTGACCTTTTCTTCTTCTCCTCCTCCTCTGATACACCGGATTAGGCACAATATCAGGAAGCCGTTCTAGCACAACTACTGCATTGCATTTTAACTTTGGATCTGACTCCGCAGAAATTTGTCTTGAACTATAATTGTGTTCCTCAAGTTGATACATCAAATCATTTCTCACTCTAACTTCTGGATCAGAAACAGTTGGCTCTTCGAAGCCATCTTCTATTGATTCTATACTTCCCTCAAAAGCTTCGGTTATAGTTTTTTTGAAATTGTAGGTTATTTGCAGTCTTTCGAAGCACTGCCTACATAGAACCGGGCGGTCTGACACCTCAAAATCCTACAAAATATCAGCCTAAGTATGCAAAAAATGAATAGAGTGCCAACAGGGGATCTGGTTTATCTTTTGGTAAAAAAAAAGAATTCAGACTAGATTTGTATGTCTCCAAAATTTGTGTGTAGTCAGAATGAAAGTGCATATTTGATTTTTGACAGTTCTGACCTTAAATTTGTACTTTCCCTTCTAATCTATTCAAATTTGTTGGTTCAAACTGGCATGCCCAGAGTAGAAACAATTGAAGTACATGAACAAAAAGGTTGCTATCATAGGCGGTTCTGAAACAAAAGACTACCACCCACATAAAACACATCAAATTCAGATTGCAATACATGAACAAAAAGGTTGCTATCATAGGCGGTTCTGAAACAAAAGATTGTCGCATAAAACACATACCAAATTCAGATTGCAGTATGTGAACATCTTTTTGAGTATTGAAAAATCAAGAATGTTCGTGTCGTTCTTGTAGAGATATATCCCAAGCCATTTGACCGGATTCAGGCATACTCTGCAGTGCTGACGCTTGTCTAACATGTTCGCCCCATCACAGATACTTTTGAGGTTAACCTTCTGGCAGGAGAGTTCTTTCAGCACAAATTCTATTTTCGATTCTGTTGCAACTACCATGTCGTGGAATTCTATGAAAGTGCTGAAATTCTGTAAACATAGCTCACAAGCGAACATGTGTTTTTGATGTGGTATGTTAGGCTGGAAAGTAACAGTTAAATATCGGTTCGTTACGAAAAGTGGAATTTGTTACCAGATAGTTGGAGAATTTAATGCAAGCACTCAGTCTTCTTGAGACTTCTGAGTCGACAAGTTGATATGTATTCTGCAGACATAAGTTACATGCATCCATTTTATGATTTGTAATGGGCCTAGTGAACACTATCCAGTTTCAATTATCACTCCTTTCCCTTAAAAGTCGTATTTTGAAAACTAGTGGCTTTTCACTTGTTTTCATAAACATTTCATCCTGTGTTGTTTTTGTGATAGATGCTAAAACTATGGCGATTTGTCATTTGTACCCATACTCAGTGGATTTATGACTTTTGAGGTTATGTTTGTTTTTGTTGTCACTTGTCACGCTGTCACAAACGTCGCGTCATGGACATCCATTTTTGGTAGACTCATAGCTGATTATATAGTAATTAGTAATTAATAATAACACATAATTCTGACGGTTCCATCAACGTCAGGTGGATAGAGCTGTACTTTGTTTTATTATTTAGAAAAGTTCATTTGCAAAACGATACAAGCAAGATTTATTAGATTTACAACCAATTCATTATTGCCAACGTTATGGACTAATACAAAGATGTCACTTGTTGATCAGCTGTTAACCTCAGTAGACGTCAAAACGTGATGGATATTCATGAAATAGGGCTTATGTATGCCTTACATAAGATATGTTCACGTGTACTTACTCATCAAATAATGGTTAGATTTACTTTGAATATTTTTGTGTGATAATACTTTAATATATGATGCTTCAAAATATTTACAAAATAACTAGAGTCAGTAGTTTAGGCCCGTATCGTCAGTCGTCCATACAAAATTGTAGGGTGCGTTTATGGCCTCCTTGATTGTCATACTCTTTTCTCTCTTTAAAAAATTTCTAAATTACGCTCGTTCCGTGTCAGCGTCAGCGCTCTCCTATTGTTAAGATATGTTTTCCTTTTAAATTGTAGGAAATTTCAGGCTGATAAAACATGATATAACTCAAAAGCAAGCACAATTTGATGCAAATAGATGTTTGTGACATAACCTCAAAATAGAGCTTTGACACGGAGAAGTAGAAAACTATGACAATCAAGGAGGCCATAAACGCGCCCTACAATAATTGTAGAGACGACTGACGATACGGGCCTTAACTGTTTAACATATGATATTGGTGACGTCAAACTAATTTTGTACGAAATTTTCACAAATTAGTATTATTGGAAATTGTGTACAGAAACTTTATGGGCAAATCATAGTAACATTCGAAATTGTGTGGAAAAACTGCATAGACAAACAGAACAGAACATTTAATCCCCCGAAAGTTGTCCAATGGACGCACAAATCCCACAAGTTTGGGGATAATCCTGCCAATATGGCAACGCTGCATGCTGGCCGCCCGGCTGCTGTTGCCAGGTAACGGTCAAAGCCACCTCAGTAATGTTCAAAAAAGCGCGGCAAATCTAGTAGGCTGTGGGGCACATCAGTCTGTAGGGTCGTCCGTGCAATATATGAACCTTGATATGATTTTTCATCGTTCTCGTCTTGGCGATCTTCGCCTTCTAGATGGAGAAGCTACAGGTCAGAGAGAGTATGCAGAATTTGGTATGCTTGACAGATGAACGCGTGGACGATAGTGTCACTGATAATTAAATAAAAATGCTTTGGGATACACTAAGTCAAAAATAGTCTTCGGGGCCTTGCAGGGAAGATTTGATCTTCAACTTAAGCACTTGACGACTTCAAAATGAATGATTTTCAACAGGGTTTTTAAGTATTGAAAATGCTCAGATAAATGTTTTCCGTTTAGCCACAAACTCTTCTCATAGACAGACAATGGATAAATCTCAAGATTCATCTATTCAATCTTTGGTATATCTAGCTAGGCAGTTCATATTGTAATTATTAGAAGTGTGTCCAAAAGTTTGCTCCTAATTTGTTATTGATTTGAAAATATGAGAAAAGTACGTACAAGTTATTTTAAAAGCGTGCGATATCTACTTTGTAACTTTTTTATACAACGAAGTAACTTTTTATTGCCTAGCAACGGTAACGCAGAAGGACGTGAAATCTGCGGCGTTGCCAATATGTTACAACAAAAAATGTTCGCACAGGCTTTATATCAAAAATTTAATTGTCGCGCTAGCTCAATTCAAGTAAGCCAGATTATCATCGTTCCTGCTTAATCCATATGGACCTGAAAGCATCACGTCGAACAAACGCTGGAGAGAAGTTCCCGAACCTTTGAACTTCGTCGAGCAAATAGCCAGAAAGCAAATCAAATAAATTATTTGGTTTGATACGCTCGCGGACGGGATGTCGTCGACCCGGTAGATAATAAAAACGTCTGGATTATCTGGTAAGAGGGAATCCAACTAATAGTCCGGCATGTTGAGAACACAATTCATAATAACGTTGTATGCGGTTGGTTATGGTTACAGACAAGTCAGCCTGGATCTATTTATGTAACAGTTTTGAATTTTCTGCAATCCGGCTCTTATTATGAAGTCAAGACAAGGATAAAACAGGATGCAACAGTAAAGCATCCCACAAACCGGCGCGAAATATTCGCTTTGGCTGCGAAAATTTCGCGGCGATGAATTCGCGATCAGATTAAAACGCGGCGGTTTACGGACAGGCTCAGACTTGTGCGAAGCGAATGCGATTGTTCCAGCGTTTTTATCGCGGCGTATTTCAGTTCGCCTTTGACCGCGTTTTTGACGCCGTTCTTCAAAAATTCGCAATGGCAAAAACGGAATTATTGATAGAAATAGTGAAAAAGTATCCTTGTTTGTATGATTTGTCGAACGATGAATACAGGAATGTGAGAAAGAAAGACAAGATTTGGATGGAAATAGGAAAAGAATTAAATACAAATGGTATGTACCTAATATTTTTTATTAACTTGTTAAATAATTTACAGTCTACACAAATGTGAAAACGAACATTCTATATATTGGGCATAGGCATATCAGAATTAAAATAATTTACGAATTTGTCAGGAGTAGAAAATGCTAGCCTTGCTGCCCGCCGAGGATCATTTGCTATATCAGTAAAAGCTCCAAGCACGGGTTCTGGGGGATCTAAGAATTGAAAATATTTGTCATCGCCACTTTTACTTCGTAAAAAATTATGTAAAACACATGCCGTACGTACAATTAGAATAGTAGTATCTACTTAAGTTTCTAATGGCCTGTAAAATATTCGCCATTTTTGAGACAAAATGCCAAACGCATTTTCCACGACCCTTCTAGCTCGACAAAGTCTTACATTGTATTTCTCTTTTCTGACGTCTGTTAAAGTCTGCTTATAAGGACATGGTCTCATAAGGTATGGTTTTAAAGCAAATGCTTCATCACCAATTAAGACGTACGAGCAGATTTCATTTTGCCCAGGGAGAAATCTAGGTGCAGGGACACTCATTAAATTTTTTTCAAATCGTTTTCCCATGTTTGAGGTTTCGAAAATACCCCCATCACTATTTTTTCCGAAACCACCAATATCAACACATAAATTTATAGTCCGGGCCAACAATGGCCATAAGTACTATTGAATATTTATGTAAATAGCACCAGTAATTGGAGCCACTGTTGTTAGGTCTCTTGATTGTTACATGTTTACCGTCCACGCTGCCAATGCAATTGGGAAATCCCCATCTATTTTCAAATTCTTCACATTTTTTCCATATATTCTCTGTTGGTTCTGGTAAATATATATGCTCCATATGTCTGCATATCGCTTCACAGACTTCGGTTACGATTGCACTCACTGTTGTAAAGCCAACTCGAAAGCTATGCCCAATGGTATAGAAGGTCTCACCAGTGGCAAGGAATCTATAAAAAACATCGTTTTTAGGTGATGAAGTAAAAAAAAGGTGGAAGAATATCAGAGACACATTTGCAAAATATATAAAATCTACCAAACCAAAGACCGGCCAAGCAGTGGGCAACATAAAGAAATGGCAGTGGGCTGACTACATGGAATTTTTCCGTCCTTTTTTGGCATTTGCCAAAACGTCGTCTATTGTGAAAGATATTGATGTCATAAATTATGAGACTGCCGAATTTAACTCAAATATATATCAGGAAAGGGATGGAAATGTAGAAACCGAAAATTTGGAAGACCGCGGCCATGGAGAAGATGAAAATGCTGATGTAGATGCAGAAGATCACAGAACGCCTCGGCAACACAGACAGCACCACTTTCTTCATTGAACACTACAGCAGTGACTACTCCAGGGCACACCTTTCCGCAGACTGCAACTACACCAAAATATAAAACGAGCAGAAAACGCTATGAACCACCATCTTCGTCTGTACAACAGCTCATTGATTATTTTGAAGGTAAAAAACCTAAAAAAGAGAACGAGGCCATTGATTCACTTTTCTTGGCACATGCACAGACTGTGAAAACACTTCCCTTAAAGCGTCAAGCCCGAATAAAACTAAAAATAGCCGAATTAATAGCGCACGAAGAATTTGAACATATTGAAGAAATGTCTTCAGCGTCTACCCAGAATTCTGCAAGTATGTATGATAGTAGTATGTCGTCCTTCCCAAGCGGCACTGGGTTTACTCCAATAATATACCCAACAGAGGAGGCAAATTCTGCCTCGAATTATTTAGCAACATTTAATCCTAGTGGCAACATGTAGTCCAATTATTACAATAAAATATTTATTTCACGATCCCTGAAGTTTTCGTATTCGATAAGCCTACTAATTTTAATACATACATAATTTTTTTACCTGAGTGTAATAGCAAGTCGTTCTTCTGGCGAAATAGCTTCACGATAATTTGTGTCAGATTTTCGTATTTCATCTTTCACCAAGTTCAATATTTCATCGAAACATTCTGGAGTCATTCTAAAATATACGTAAAAGCGCTGTTCATCCAGCCGAAGTTGTGGCATCAAGGTATGGTATTCCCCAAATTTATTTCGTTCCAAGTTAATATCATGTACCCACTTCCTTCGTTTCCTAAACAAAATTGAAAATATTTGTTTTATGTACTTCGTTAAACTTAATACATACCCAACTATCAAATGGCGTTAAATAAACATAACTTACCGTGCATTTTGTTCCTCTTCTAAAGCAAGAAATAGAAGTGCCTCCTCTTCTTCTGAAGACGAGCTCATTGCAAAAGGCAAAAATAAAATGTACGCAACCTGTCGAAACCTTCACGTTCGCGGAGCGAATAACACGCTTCGGTATGAATAAACAGGCGAAACAGATTGCGAATTTCGCTCTGAATTTCGTTGCGAATACTTCGCCGCGATTATTTCGCGCCGGTTTGTGGGATGCTTAAAGCAGCTTAGACAAGACCACACTCTACTAATTTCTGTCGAGTCTTGAAATTGAGGATAAAACGATTCGAATATAGGAGCCTCAAACTTGCATAATATGTAGCTTTTAATATACATATTACTTCTTGTACATCTGGCGAGAGAATACAAAAATACTGGATTAAAATAAA